TAAGGAGTAGTAGTACTACTTTGTTTGTTTAGGTTAGGTTTCCGTTAACTTAACTAAATTACTTAACGTTACGTCACGTTCTACTACTCGTGTCTCTCTCTCTCTCTCTCTCTCTCTCTCTCTCTCTCTCTTATTTAAGCAATTGGAAAACGACCACCAATTTCTAAAGAAGCATCCAGCAATTCATCTGAGTGGCTAGCAGTGTATGAGCAAATCTAGTGCCTAAAGATTATTGCTTTCAATTACCTGACAACCATCTCGGAAAAGTAACCCCCACCAACTCGGCCGAGAAAGTTCCAAATGCTGATCATGGAAACAAAAATATGAGTGTTGTCATACCCCAAGGATTGGCTCATCTGACCCAAGTTATCAATCACTGAGACGCCCGACCCCGAACCCAATAGGAGCGAGAAAAAGATTAGCCAAAAATCAGCCTTGATCAATGCTTGCATCAATGTGAAGTCTTCCCCTCTATGTGGCCCACTCCTCTTTACTCTTACAGCTCCCTTAGCTGCTGCATTCAGCAAACGAGCCTGCAGTTCTGCAATTCTCTTTCTCCTCTCAGAAGCGGGGAGCAAATCTACCTCCCTTGGCTTCTCATCCTCTACTTCACTTAATATTAATTCAGGTGTGTGGATGGGTTTCTCATCTGCTTCTTCGTTTAAAGGTTCTTTCAATCGTCTGTCATCTACTAGAGATTTGGAGTCCTCAGAAAAGTGCAATTTCAGAGGTATGACAATGGGGAGTAAAACAAGGATGAATAAGATAACCGTGAATACTATAGTCACATCATGACTAATATTTGTTAGATCTTCAAGTAATAAAACACCCATCAAATAAGCAGCCAAAAGAAGGCACACGCTAAACACAAATGTGAAGCTTGAAGCATCGGAAGCCCGAATTTGTCGGTGACCTCCAACGGGTCTAACAAAGAACATAAGAGCAATGACCACCATAGCTGGTCCTACGGCTATCATGAAGATGAGTGCAGCTTGATCGGGTATGTTGATCATGGCGTATATTTGGGTCAAAATTGCACCGCTAAGGCCTGCAAATCCCTTCAGTATTCCCACAATTGGACCCCTGTGCTTGGGAAAATTTTGAACACATGAGACTAAGGAGGCCGTGTTGTAGTAAGTCTCTCCATTAGTTCCAATAAATATAAGTACACACATCTGAACCAATAATCAAATAACATGAGATCAATAAAACAGGCGAACTCATAGTATCTGAGGTAAATAAGCATCTGCAAATCAGTTTCTTGAGGAAAGACTCCCATATGAAATAATTAGTCCATCAAATCGATAAAATCACTAGACAAAAAAAATTAAGCACTGAAAATCATGGAATTCCTTTAGGACCTGAAGCAAATACAGTCCAAAAATTCATTTCAAACCATTTTAAGATTTTATACACAGAGAACTGACATGCCATGAAGACATTTCCAAATTATCTTAAAATCTATAGACTTAAATCTTATGAAAATACAAGATTCATCTATCAAGCTCATTAATCTGTACCAATCTAACTATGCAAGATATTGACCAGATATCAGTCAGAGAAGTGCTTCATCTAAACAACCAACAATTTGATGAATCAATAAATGAATGTCAACAAAAAAAAATACGGAATTGAGCTTACACCGCAAGATACATAAAACAACAGTATATAAAAAGATCTTAAGCTATAAGGAATGCAATTTCATGAATCTGACCTTCAGAAGGCAACAAAGAAAACCCCCTAACAATGGGAGTTCATGCTAATCTTACCCAAAAACCAGCTGGAAGCCTTTGAAAAGAATATGACAAATAAAAACAAAGAAAAAATAAAAAACTGCCTTAACAGAACGATCTAAAAAACTATTCCAGTGATTTTCCAATCACAACCTGCTACAAATGAGAAACATGCCAATACTAGACAACCCCCACAAAAGAAAAAAACGAAAAAAAAAAAGAAAAAGAAAAAAAACAAGCGCTCTAACTCAATTCAACAATTCCCCTTCCAATGTTGACTATGTAAGGCAAGAGCAATAACCAAATATCAAGATCAGATTTCTATTAGTAAAACGAAAATTAATTTTAAAAAAAGTCCAAATCTTCATATAACTAAGAAATAAAACACAAGATTTTTCACAGGTTAAACCAATTTACTAAACATTTTTGTGCACATCAGCCCCTTGAAGAAGAAACATCAAACCTCTTAGGAAAAAAATTGAGATCGAAAAGAAAATCAAAAAACTTACAGCAAACAAGGGAAGATGGGGTAATCTGCCTGTGACTATGAGCCAGACCCAACCATACCCAATAAAATTCTGAACAGCTCCAACCAAAAGAGCACCCCATGTTGGCAAAATTGCAGAGAGACTCCCTGTAACAAACCCAACACTATCACCAAAGTTTTTCGCCACACTGAGCATAGCAAGTTGTCTCTGGTTATAATTGAGAGAGCTCTTTATAACAGGGGAAATGCCCCCAAATAAATAACCAATCCCTGCAACAGATTGAACCCACATTGCAGCTACGAACACCAGCCATCTGTTGCTGAAAAAAGCCTTAATTCTCCCTTGTTGCCTACTCATTTTGCCTCGGATAAAAGCGGGTTTTCTCTTAAAATACTTTACGGATTAGGGTTTTCCCTTAAAAGAGTTTTTCAATTGGATTCTTCTTGGTTTTTTGAGTTGTGTCTCTGTTTTTTCTCATGGGTTTTCTAATGGATTGGCTCCTCTCACCAACTTGATTTTGTTAAGGGGCTTGGGACCCTTGTCTTCATTTTCTCTCTCAAAGAAAGAGAGAGAAGGAAAGAGAGGATTTATAATTGGGCAGCTAGAATTGACATAACCAGGGAGAGGAAAGGGATTGATCATTTAGAGAGAGAGAGAGTGATGACAGATGAGTCGCTGTAAGTTTATGTGGCTTCTCAAGGAGTAGCCACCATGAGCGCGTCATTAATGACTATAATACCCTCGAGCTTCTTTACCAATTCCAGTTGGCTGATTTAAAACTGCAAAAATTATCTGGGAAACTCACTGTCTGATTATAACTTTATTATTTTGATTTCTTTTTTATCCCCTGTCCGCATATTACGGGGTGGGTCAGATTCAAGATATGTCACATCAAGAATCTTTAAATTATTAAAATTAAATGAAATAAAAATTAAAATAA